GTATAGTTGGTTGTTTTCAACAATATAATGTGTTGCTTGTTTTTTAAATTGTTGTTGTTCCTTTAAAGTCAAATTTGAGGGTAATTCCGAAGTTGTTAGATATTTCACAAAGTTAAAATAGAGAGTAAATTTCATTTTGGTTAGAGTGTTTGATGTTTTTCCTAGGGTGGCTTTCTAAGAAGATAAGAAAGTGCATCCACATTTGAGTGGACTCGTCCCTTGCGATATATGACTGTGCAAGGATAGTCAGCTATCCATTGTATCCAACAAGTAACCCTTTTGGCAGAATTAGGCTGATTTAGCAACCAACGAAGTGCTGAATAATCAGTAATAAGGTCAAAAGGCTTCATATAAATATAAGGTTGAAAATATTCCATTCTCCAAACTGTAGCAAGACATTTAATTTCAGTTGGAGAATAATTAATTTTAGCAGAATTCAGAGATCTGCTAGTATATGCTATTACATGTTCATTATTATTATCATCCTTTTGAGTAAGAATAGTACCCAAGCCTTGGTACAAAGCATCAGTAAAAAGTATAAATGGTTTTTCAAAATCAGGATATTGTAAAATAGGAGCAGCTGTTAATTTTTTCTTCAAGATATCCATAGCTTGTTGACAGGTGTTAGTCCAAACAAAAGGAATATTTTTTTTTAACAATGTGTTTAAAGAGTGAACAATTTGTGAAAAATTAAGAATAAACCTTCGATAATAAGAAGCTAGCCCAATAAATCCTCGAAGTTTAGTAAGATTACTAGGTGCAGGATAATTTTGAACCTTATCAATTTTGAAGAATCAGAAGCAATACCATTTTCACTAATAATATGTCCAAGAAAAGCTAGCTATTGTTTTCCAAAACAACATTTATTTTTTTCTAATTTTAACCTAGCATTTTGTAGTCATTTAAAAACTTCCTTTAAATATTCTAAATGTTCCTCGAAAGTTTTTGAATAAATAGTAATATCATCAAGATATACTAAAATAAATTTATTTTTAAGATCAGAAAA